GGGCCCGCCTGCCCTTCCCACGCTGCGATGCACCACCTGCAGAGCTCCACTGGTCAGGCATCAGTTTGCTGCTGCTTCTGCAGCTCTTCCAATAAGCAGGGGCTTATTTGACAGCCCTTGAAATTCTCATTTATTTTTTCTTATCCTAAAAGAGCTAATTTTCAGTGAGGTACATGGAACAGCAGGGTCTGGGCTTTTGTTAGCATCTACCATCACCTCCGCAGTAATACAACTCTCCTTAACCCAAATAGTGACAAAATCCCGAAGCATGCATGTTGGTATGGTCTCTCAGTATTTTACCCTCAGTATTTTACCATATCAGATACTGGATCTCTCCCTCTAACATTATTCTCTTTTCCCTTTTCATGTTGCCTTTAGCCAGAAAATTCAGCATGACGGAAGCATTCACAGAAACGACAGCTGAATATGCTTATGAAGAACATGCTTTTTCCTGCAATAAGACTGACATCCAAGAATTTGGGAAGATATTTCTGCCAATATTTTACATGGCAGTGTTTGCTTTTGGCCTCACAGGGAACCTAATGGTGGTTTTTGCCATTGTGAGAGAAGGCAGTAAAAAAAGCATCACTGACATCTATCTCCTGAACCTGGCTATCTCAGACCTTCTCTTCGTGATCTCCCTCCCCTTCTGGGCCTCCAACACGGTGCGGGGATGGACCCTTGGGACTGTTCCATGCACAGCTGTTTCCTCTCTGTATTACATCGGTTTCTTTGCGGGCATGTTCTTTATCACTGTTATCAGTATCGACAGGTACTTGGCCATTGTCCGGGCAACATACTCGCTGAAATCCAGAACAGTGAAACATGGCTTTCTTATAACCTGTGGAGTATGGGCAATAGCAGTTTTATTTTCAGTGCCACATTTTGTGTTCTCCCAGCTGGTAGAAAATGACTGCATTTCTGTCTTCCCCCAGGAGCTGGAGAACATCTGGCCGGTGTTCTGCAACGTGGAGCTGAACACCATCGGCTTTTTCATCCCAGTCTGTATCATGTGCTATTGCTACTGTGGGATCATCAAAACCCTGCTCTCCTGCAAAAATCAGAAAAAAACACGAGCCATAAAACTGGTCTTGGTTGTGGTGGTCGTGTTTTTTCTGTTTTGGTCCCCCTACAATGTACTGATTTTTCTAGAGACTTTAAGGCACTACGAGTTATTCACAAATTGCAACCAAATTAAAACATTGGACTACGCGATGCATCTGACCGAAACCATTGCATTCAGTCACTGTTGTCTCAATCCCCTTATCTATGCCTTTGCTGGGGAAAAATTCAGGAAATACCTTTATCACGTCTGCTTAAAATACTGTCCATGCCTGTGTTTCTGTGGCCCCTGCAGTCGCTACCAGGTCACCTATTCCGCTAGCTATGCAGAAAGCGTCATGAACAGCAACATAACCCTGAACACCAGCGACCAGGATGGCTCTGTCTTCGCCTAGAAGGCTCTCCGAAGAAGAAATGTATGTAAATATGTATTCTGCAGGGCTAGCCACCGCTGAGAGATTGCCATTACTTATATGAAGAGACTTAATGGCTGCACCGAGTTACTGACATGCCTCTTGTTAAGCATTAAATCATGTAAAACGGTAAAAATTTTAAAAACAAAAGCAGTACAGTATGTCAAGGCTGAACATGAAATCGAATCAAGAGAGAGGATGAGGGAAAGTAGAAGCAAAAGAAGCGCTCTGTGCCTAGAACAGAGAAGAATTTAAGGATAAGGAAGCTGTTGAACAGTTTCATCATTGAAACTTGTGTGTGTGTCGGTGTATGCACGTGGTACAAATGCACATAGACCTAAACTCATTTTTTTAAGGGAAGAGAGGTCTTTCTAGTAAAGGGGTCTATTTTTGATGCTATATAACCATATAGAAGTGAGCATCTGAGCATTTTTTCATATGCAGTAATTCCACAGATATTAAATATTCCATTTTTTGCTACTGAACGTTCAGCCCCTTTTCATAAAATGCCTTGTGTTAGGTGTAAATATCTTCTATATGCTCAACTTTTAAAATGTCAGCTGTAAGTGGACTTTCAGACTTCAGACACTGTCTAAGATTAAGTGTAGCATGAACATCACTTGAAATTAAATCACTTTTCAAAATTCAGTCTGCCTAAGCAAGTGAGACAACCCCCTCTGTCCCCACCCCCAAGCAAGTGGTATTTTTAAGAAATAATATTTTTACAATGTTTTTTTAAAGAAATGCTAAGATGTGCAGAAAGAAAGAGGAAGGTACTCTGTGACTAAACAAGAAGTCATCTGCATGAAATCGGTCTGAAGGGGGTGGATTGCGGGGCTGAGCAATGCGATCTCACTCAGTTTATTTAGCTTTCCTTTTATTTTGGGGCCAATGGCGAGTTACTGAGTGGGAAGAGTAAAAGGCACCTTTACATATGATCCATGTAGCTGTTTCCAGAATGAAAGAGGCAAGCCCAGAGCTTTCTGCCAGCTCTCTAGGAAAGGAGAGCATTTTCCTACCTAGCCCTGGTAGTTTCCCAAGAATCCTACCCATCACCAGCACGGTGCACCACAGCACGCACGCCTTCTGGATGCGTCTCTCTCTGGCAGTGCAGACTTGCTACTGTGACTCAAACTGCCTTGACAGGCCTGGGTCCTCGGCAAGCTACAACGTGCGAAACTGCATCTGCAAAAAACCCTTCAGGTCCAAGTTAAGGGCCCCTCCCAACAACCTGCACTTCTCTGTCTTCTTTGCCACGCTGTGCAATGGAAGGCTTCCAAGGATTGTCAGCATAACATCATCAATTTTTATGCTACGTATTTGCAAGCTATTTTATAGAATCTGCTATCTACATGCAAGGTCTTACTGCTCAGTATTTGAGCATTTCTATGAGATTAAAAGCTTCAGGGGGGTTTCTAGGCACTGGGCTCTGCAACAAACAGGTAGTTTATGCAGATGCTTCCTCCTAGCAGAAGTGGTAAATCTTTGAAAGCCTCTGAAAACCAAAATCAACATTTTTGTTTTGTTTGCATTAGCCGGAAGAGTTTTGTTGTAATCGTCCCTTAAAAACCTTCAACCTCCATGAAACATACCAGTGCTCTGAGGGCAACCAGTAACAAACTTGACCAGAACTGGGTTCAGCTGCAGCTGAGACAGGCGTTGCTGCTCACCGCTGTACTGCACCATGCCAGCATGCATGGGGAGCTGGAGCCCCATGGCTCCTGACCACACTGTGCCTCTTCTCTTATGATTTGTGACAGATAATATTGTGTGTTTCCTGGGTTTCTGCTAATTTTGTACATTACACTCTTGAGGTATTCTTTGCACCATTTGAGCCTGACTGAAAGCATACTGGTGTCTCTTTAAGTCCCTCCACTGGACTTTCAGTTAACTGTAGCCTTTATTTAATGATACTACTTCTCTTTCAAAACCTTTGTAGCAGGAAACTGGTGCTTTCTAACTGCCCAGCTAGGTTACAACACACACTTTTCTACGCACAGCACTAATGCTGCATATAACCTTAGACTGTATCAACACATTCCTGAGGACCAGCAACATCCAGTCCCTAACCATTACACTTTAGAAAGTAAACCAGTCTCTCAGATTTTGGAGGATACATATTCCAAATTACAGTCTGATCGTAAGCCCTCTCTACCAAGCGACCCAGAAGAAGAATGATTTCAAATGCGGCCCTGAGCAATGACAAGCCTTTGAACAAATTAAACGGGAGATAGTGCATGCAGTAGCCCTTGGGCCAGTCCAGACAGTGCAAGATGTAAAAAATGTGCTCTACACTGCAGCCGGGGAAAATGGCCCTACCTGGAGCCTCTGGCAGAAAGCACCAGGGGAGACTTGAGGCCGACCCCTAGGGTTTTGGAGTCGGGGATACAGAGGAGTCATGGCTCGCTATACTCCAACTGAGAAGGAGATATTGGCAGCACGTGAAGCGTTTTGAGCTGCTTTGGCAGTGGTTGGTACTGAAGCACAGCTCCTCCTCACACGCTGACTGCTGGTGCTGGGCTGGATGTTGAAAGCGAGGGTCCCGTCTGCACATCATGCAGCTGATGCTACGTGGAGTAAGTGGGTCGCACTGATCACACAACAAATAGGCTCCAACAGGAAACCCCAGTTGCCCAGGAATCTTGGAAGTGATCACGGACTGGCCAGAAGGCAAAGATTTTGGAATATGACCAGAGGAGGAGGTGACGCATGCTCAAGAAGCCCTGCTGTATAATAAACTTCCAGAAAATGAGAAGCAGTATGCCCTGTTCACTGGTGGGTCCTGACGTCTTGCAGCAAAACATCAGAGGTCGAAGGCTGCTGTGTGGAGTCCTATATGACAAGTCACAGAGACTGCTGAAGGAGAAGGTGAATTGAGTCAGTTTGCAGAGGTGAAAGCCATCCAGCTGGCTTTGGATATTGCTGACCAAGAAAAGTGGCCAGTGCTCTGTCTCTCTACCGACTCACGGGTGGTGGCAAATGCCCCGTGGTGGGGGTTGCAGCAATGGAAGCAGAGCAACTGGCAGCGCAGAGGCAAACCCATATGGGCTGCTGCATTGTGGCAAGATATTGCTACCCAGGTAGAGAACCTGGCTGTAAACATATGTCACGTAGATGCTCATGTACCCAAGAGTTGGGCCACTGAAGAACATCAAAACAACCAGCAGGTGGATCAGGCTGCTAAGGTTGAAGGGGTTCAGGTGGATCTGGCCTGGCAACACAAGGGTGAATTATTTGTAGCTCGGTGGGCCCATGACACCTCAGGCCATCAAGGAAGCAATGCAACATATAGATGGGCTTGTGATGGAGGGGTGGACGTGAGCATGGATGCTGTTGCACAGGTTATCCATGAATGTGAAACGTGCTGCAATCAAGCAAGCCAAGTGGTTAAAGCCTCTCTGGTATGGAGGGTGATGGCTGAAATATAAATACGGGGAGGCCTGGCAGATTGATTATATCATACTCCCACAAGCCTGCCAAAGCAAGCACCATGTGCTCACCATGGCAGAAGCAACCACTAGGTGGCTGGAAACATATCCCATGCCCCATGCCACTGCCCAGAACACTGTCCTGGGCCTTAAAAATCAAGTCTTACAGAGACATGGCACCCCAGAAAGAACTGAGTCAGACAACAGGACTAATTTCCAAAACAACCTCATAGATACCTGGGCCAAAGAGCAAGGCACTGAGTGGGTCTCTCACATCTCCTATCATGCACCAGCCTCTGGGAAAATCAAACGATACAATGGACTGTTAAAGACTACACTGAGAGCAACGGGTGCTGGGACATTCCAACTTTGGGATACACACTTAGCAAAGGCCACCTGGTTAGTCAACTCCAAGGGGATCTGCGAACTGAGCTGGCCCTGCCCAGTCAAACCTCTTATGTGCTGCAGAGGGGGACACAGTCCCTGCAGTGCATATACAAATATGTTGGGGAAGACAGTCGGGGTTACTCCTGCCTCGGGCAAAGGCAAAATCCCCCATCCATGGGATTGCTTTTGCTCAAGGACCTGGGTGCGCTTGGTGGGTGATGTGGGAGGATGGGGAAGTCCGATGTGTACCTCAGGGGGATTTGGTTTTGGGTGAGAATAGCCAATGAACTCAATGCTATGATGTTAATTGCTGTGTAATACTGTATGTCATCACTTCTGTGGTTGCTCTATGCCATAGCAATGGTATTACAGTAAGAATAGCCCAGATTCACGAAGAATGAACTTGGATGAAACCAAGAAAGTGAAGCGGTGATGGAACCAGAACTGGCTTCAGCATGCAACAGTCCAATACCACGCACCACCTCTCCTGCCCTGAAAGCATGTTACAGCAGATGGAGCCCAAAGTCATGGGCTAAATGCACCCAACGGACATTTTAGAGGGATGGCCCGCAGACCAAGGGAATGATGTCTGTGTGTATGTATTAAAAGACAGGAAAAGCAGCGCTGATTAATTGAAGTGTATTGGAGAGTATGGGAAGTGCGTACACCGGCCAAGGACTTTTCAGCTTCCCATGCTCTGCCAGGTGCACAAAAAGCTGGGAAGGGTACAGCCAGGACAGCTGACCCCAGCTGGCCAAAGGGGGGATTCCATACTGTATGACAGCATACTCAGAGGGAGTTGACTGGGAGGTGACTGGGAGGGGAGCAATCACTGCTTGGGACGGGCTGGGCATTGGTCAGCGGGCGGTGAGCAATTGCATTGTGCATCGCTTGCTTTGTATATTCTGTATATTCTCTTATCATTATTACTATTGTTGTTATTCTTTTCCTCTGCTGTTTTATTAAACTGTCTTTATCTCAACCCGTGGGATTTACTTTTTCTTCTGGTTCTCTTCCTCATCGCACTGGGGAGTGGGGAGTGAGCGAGCAGCTGTGTGGTGTTCATCTGCCTGCCGGGTTAAACCACAACACTCAGTATGGCATAAAACCTTTTCATCTGCCATAAATTAAGGATAGACTCTTGCTTACTTAGCAGGTGACAATTTACACATGAAAATGCACACACACATGCATGCACGTGTTCTATCTATCCATTGAATTGGTTATGCTAAATGGAGGTCAGGAAATCTCTGGGTTTGGTGGGGGGATTGGGTTTTGGGGTTTTGAGGGGTGGTGAGCTATCTTTGCATCTTATTTTTTCATCTCAATCAACTTTTTTCCTGTTTGAGAATCACACTGACACTTAACATAAATCTCTTCCCAGCTGGGTTACAGTTTGAAGAACTAATAAAACCTGAGTCTGAATTTTCTCAGCAGGTTCACAACTATACTTCATGTTCTACTTATAAACAGAATGAACACACATTTACCCAAACCGCTTGCAGTGAGATACATGGACACCAGTATCTTTTTTACATGCCACTGCGAATCCCTCTCATTCAAATATAACATCACAGTCCCAAAATCATAGGATTTATGTTTCTTCATTTTTAAGCCGAGCATGGACACTTGGAATTCTTTTAATTGACCTCTTGGTGTTTTTAACTTGTACAAAACACTTAGAAAAGCAGCCAGTCAGAGCATCACACTGACCTAGCACATCGCTCAGCTGTTTAGAAAACAGACAAGCACAGCTTTGAGCCTCCTCAGACACCTTCCTGATGGGTCAAAGAAAATGTGCTGGTGAAGCTCCTTCATCTGTACTGGGAGGTCTAGCAAGATGTCCCTAGAAGCGCTGAAATTCCTGTGTGCGCTTATCCAATCCTCCATCGCTGAGTGGTTTTAGGCCATTAACACTATTGCTCGAGGCCTTCCCAGTGGGAAATGCTCCTCACTGCCATGTGCTCCTGCTGTGGCCAAGTTGGGATTTATGTTGCTCAGCAATTGCCTGGGACAAAGGGGATGGCAAAGGGCTGTAGACAAAGGTGGTGCAACAACCTGCTCCAAGTGTCTTAAGAGGCATACCGTTTCCTTCTCGTTTGCTCCTACCTGGTTGGAGCCCAGAAAAATTACATGTAAGGAACTGTGCTGGTAAAGTGCATAGGAAATTGCACATAGAAACAGCAGCACATGTCTGGCACCAGAGGGAACTGACTTGTCAGCAGACGCCTAGAGCCATCTACTGTTCTGCTTCCTCAGCTTCCTCCATGTCCTCTAATGTGCCCCGCAAATCATGGCCATTGCAAACTGTCCTGCCGTTTCTTTGTGTCACGGTGCTGCTGGGTTTAATTTTAATGTAGCTAATGTAGCTAAATGCAAATTTCTTGTGGGAGAAATGCAACTCCTTTCAGTTGCCTGCATTATCATGGCATATGGACCTATATGCAGCTAGACTGTTGGGCTGCAGCTGAATATGGAGCAGTGACTTAGCATATAACTGATCAGACACTTAAAATCTGCGTGGGGTGGAAAACAGACTGTTCCAGTTACAGCTGCAGTTGGCGAGTGGATAATACCCCCTGTCCAGTAAAAAAAGCTGTGCCAGAGTCCTTGCTTGCATTCTCTATCCCGTTTGCTAACCTCTGCCTTCAGTGATATAATGTGCTGCTTTCTGCTGACTGAAGGATCACAGTTGAAAATTTGGTAAATGCAGACTGTTTTTCACAAGCAAACCATTTCCCCATGTCCAATGGGAGCCATTTTACAGTATTTCTTTAGGGAGAGGAATGACAAATGCAATATATTAACTATTGATGTTTGTGTATTGAATAATAATGCAACAAAATTATACAGAAGCAGTTGGTGGATATTTTTTTCTGTGCTGAAAACAACGTGTTAGCACTGACACTGCAAAACCCAGGTCTTCAGGTTTGGGGGTTTATATGTTGAAAACCAAGCTCTTACAGTATTTACCAAGTAAATTAGGCAGCAGAATTATTACACCAACTTCAACAGAAGTTCTATGTATGTGACAAGTGTCAGAAGCCGTCCTTTAATAGTTATAAATTGTGCATAATTTTAGCTTCGATTACTGGATTTGAATGTCAAAATAGTAACTCTGGAAGTCACAGGTTTTCATTTGAGTTCCAGATGTCTTACAGACAGAGTTAAGAAACTTTGAGATATATATACAGAAAATACTTCATTCCCTACTAAAATATGGCCATTTTAAAAGTGGTATGTACATGACCTTTCGCAAAGCACCGCACTGTCCTTGGGCAGTAGCTGCAGAGGAAAAATGTTACTAGCTAGGAGCTGCAAAAGCAATGGTGGGTAGAGATAGTGCAACTTCTAAATTCAAATTTGGGAAGAATAAACCTGGTGACTGAGATTTTCTTTGGAAAACTCT